ATATAAAATTTGACCTTAATATAGTCACACTTTTTTATAATCACCAAATATTTGTTTCCCAACCTGGTGATTATATCAAGGTCTGACTGTAGTTGTCACAAAGTAAATTATATAAATTAATGTACTTTGTCAATTAATTTTTTATGAAGTGAGTAGCAATAAACACAAATATCTATAAGCTTTAAGCACAAAAATTTAGCAGCTGTCAGAAAAAAAAATCTGTAGACATATAACTATGTCTAAAATTTTTATTATGTCTAAGCGATATAGGAAAGATTTAGCCAGTATTGTGAATATTAAAGATGAGTGATTAAAAAAAAATATGTATAGTAATCAATATGTAAGGAAAATATAATGCAGTAATCGATCAACAGAAAAATAATAATTACATATATGAAATAAAATATGTCTAAATAAAAATCATCTTTCATATAAACTTTAGACATAATATATAAAAAAATTCTATATATACTCTTTCGAAGGACCTAAATAATTAATATATACGCTATATAAATTATATAATATATGCAACTTCTAGTAATACAAAACAAAAAAACTAAAAACCTATTCATAATCCATTTCATCATCAATATCAATGTCTTTCATATCAATATTATTAATTTTTTACTAATTTTTTCCGTAATCCAACTTTTTAAGCATAATATTGCCCAGGCAGTTTCAGGATCTAATCTGTTACGTACCTTTGAAATAGTAAGCCTAGCAATTGAAAATACCTCTTCACATGGTACACTGGATGTCTGAATTGTAAGAAAATCACATGCCATAGTTGATAGAACTGGAAATTAAATTTATAAACTTTCCATCACTCCAATGGATCACAATTTTCATCAATAGGGATAGCAAGATATCTTTCTAACTCATTGCTAACATTAGGTTGTACAGTTGTAGTTGAGCGAAATTGATTTGCAAGATTTCTTAAATAAGAATGAGCATTACTCTGATTTAATGATGAACTTTCTGGAGATAGTTCTATTAAATTCGGTAAAACCAATGTAGCAGTAGTTGAATAATGACACATTTTACTACGCAATAAAAATATAGCATTATTAGTTTTATCTCCAATTGCAAAAACTGAGCACTTAACGCGAGGATCTAATATAGTTGCAATTTTAATAGTATCATTAATATTTAGATAATATTCATCAAATTTGTGCCATATAGAATCAGCCATTATATATTGCGTAGTATTATTAATTATTTTATATTCTAATTTTTGCTTTAAGGTCCAAAAAGTAAAATAAAAATCACTGATTGTTGAAAATGAGGATGATGAAAGTGCTAAAGTTGTGGAATACATTGGTGCTAAAACTGAAATTGCTTCCTATATAATTTATATTATATTAATTAAATTATTATTAAGTTTATTAAATTATTTAATCATACTGCATTTAAATACTTACATATATATTAATCCAGTTATTATTTGTAAAAACTAAATTACTAAAATAATTTGGATGTTGAGCTATAAGCATATTTGCTTGTATTCGAATTCTTACAAACTTAATTAGCATCAAATATGTAGAATTCTACCAAATTTCTATATCTATTTCTGGACCCAAATAAAGAAGATTTTGTGATTTAAATAAGGGGTCATCCATAATTTACGTAAAGAACTGTATATAATAAAGATTTACAAAAATATAAAAAATAACAAAATCGATGATATTTTGTGACCCAGTGATCCAATTTTAACGATTTTGATATCATTCGAACCGTCTCATCGAAACAAATCGAATGGTATCAAAATCGTTAAATTTGAATTACTGGATCACGAGATAATTATATTTAACTAAAATTGTAAAATATCTAATTATCTCAATAACCA